TTATTATTATGGCCTCACCTTGTTTTCATTCACAGTCATGCAGACTTTTCCTGTTTCTGCTGGAGGATCTGAAGTGACGGTGATGCGATACATATCCGCAGTTTGATAAGCCCTGGGTGTAAATAAGAGGGTCGGTTTTACTAAACAGAGTTCACGTCTATTATTGTGCTCGGGATGCTAAAGTCAGGTGGGCTGAGGAAACAGTGCGCCTAAACTTCTCTCTGACCTTTCGCTCCTGTACTTCTGAAAAGTCCTCGCCCACTTCTTACGGATTTGAAGGTTTTCTTGGGCCTGCTCTGCCGCCATGTTTTCACTGGATCCAAGCTCATTTGTGATAGAGGAAGCTGATGGTCCCACCTCCGTATCTTCTAGAACTTGACTCATTTTGTTCTGAATCTAAAAAAAAAAAATAATAATAAAACAAAAAAAAAATCTCATTGAATCACGAGCATCAGGACCTGTCAGTTATTACAGTTATTGAGTCAGTTATGTTCAGTACAAAGCCTGTGCCATGACCACACACTTATTTATTCGTATTAAAGACATGCTAAATACATGTTGCCTAAAGGCATGCCTGCATAGCATCCTTTTTCCATTCATCATGGCAAAAAATAAAATAAAAAAACAGCATTAATGTGTCCAAATTCAAGGGCTGCATAATGTCAGCAATAATAACAGATTTGGCATTTTTCAAATCAAGCACTTCAGTAACTTAACACAGTTGTTACTAATGTATTTTTGTCAACTTACAGTAAATATTAATCAAGTTTCAACTTAAATTACAATCTAACCAAATAAAAAATTGGACTTGTCATGGAAATACAACTGGATTTGTCAAAACAAATGTTTTGCTAACTGAACACAGTCTGCTACGTAGCATGTTAAGCCTTTTCAACTTTGAAATGAAGCAGGCAAGCATAAAATAAACACCCAGAGTTACAGTTTAATACAAACGGATACATACAAAGTACACATTACAACATTAATGTAATTAATACCTGTTGGGTACACTTACTTTTTTCATGGCGGCGAACTCGCTTGAAAGTTGTGCAGTCTGCTTTTTCTTTGTGAAAAGCAGTTTACAGTTGGAAGTATCTCAGCAACAGTGAGGCAGGTTTTGAGTTGTTTCCATAGTTATAGAATGCTTCTCTTTATTGAAGCAAGATGATATTTATTTATTTATTTATTTATTTATTTATTTATTTATTTATTTATTTAAAGTTTCAGCACAGAAACAGTTTGACATGTTGCTCTACGAAAGCACAGGTGGAAATAATTAAATCAATTCTGTTCGTCTGAGCTCCACATATCTCCTTCAGCTTCCAGTGGCCTGTTATCATCTGCACTGATTTAGGCTCCCAGCGAGCCGAGGGCCACTGTTGATGGTGAATGTAATAAAACCAATCGTTGTTCCTCGTGTGTCATTTMTTCATTTGGCAACACTGACAATCATATCAAAATGAACCAAATACAAAATGAGGGTTTTATTTTCCTCACAGGATTTAGTTGTTTTCATTTTTTTTGCAAATTTCTACAATGTGCAGTATTATGATAATGTCTTTTAATTTAATTAGATGATGCAATCTTTCCAACAAACCCCGCTTTAAAAGCAAAATTTCAAAAATTGTCTGACATTATTATATCAAAACTTTATCTCAACTGTTTTTTTAATCTAAACCTTTTTGTGTTTTCCTTTGTAAGTGCATTATTTTT